GGTTCCTCTCTGTGATACGTGTCCAGTTTCTCGAAATAAAAGAGACAGCCAATAGTGCTCACTGTATAGCAATATTGATAAAATAATAAAAGAATGTACTTACAAAACCAGAGCAGACCAACTGCTCCGTGATGACAGCTTGGGTGGATTGATCCCCACCTTGGATTTCTTTAAATGCAGGAAGCTTCCAGGGGTTTTCAGGTTTTTTTTAAAACCAATAAAAATAATAATTAAAAAGCCAGGGTAAAAAGAGTATTATGTGTCTATAAAAAAAGATTATTGGCACAAACAAATGACCAAAAAATACTTTAATATATTTACAAACACAATAATTAAATATCCATAACGCGTTTCGTCTAAGACTTTATCAAATGGAATAACGTGGTCGTGGTGCTGTGATTCCCTTTGGCCCTAGAATAATGCCCAGTGTTCAGAGGCCACGTACCCTGAACTCGAAAAGTTCTGAGGACATAGTTGACTGGCTAACACAGGACACCCAATCTTCTACAGCTTCCGCTCGGAACCTTGACGCACCATCCTCCTCCAGCTTAGCTTCGGGCACCTCTCAAGTTACCACTCGCCCGCCTGCCGCCACCACCAACACTAGCACCACAGCAGCTTAATTTGGTATGTTAGAGGAGTTATTTACACATCAGTTGGAAGAAATGAGTGATGCACAACCATTATTGCCAGAGGATGTAGATAAGAGGGATATGTCTCAGTCAGGCAGCATTACACACATGGACGTACGGTGTGATGATGATGATCTTGTACCCATTGCTGCTTCCTTTGCTGAGTTGTCAGATACAAGTGAAGTGGTTGATGATGATGATGCGTCCGTGGATGTCACGTGGGTGCCCGCTAGAAGAGAAGAAGAACAGGGGGAAAGTTCAGATGGGGAGACAGAGAGGAGGAGGAGGAGGAGATGAGTTGGAAGCAGGGGGAGTTCGTCGCAAGGAGCTAGTGGCACAGTCAGACAGCATGCATCGGCCACCACCAGAATGCCGTCATTGCAGAGCTCAGCAGTGTGGCTTTTTTTTTTGTGTGTCTGCCTCTGACAACAGCGATGCCATTTGCAACCTGTGCCAAAAGAAACTGAGTCATGGGAAGTCCAACACCCACCTAGGTACAACTGCTTTGCGAAGGCACATGATCGCATATCACAAACGCCTATGGGATCAACACATGAGTACAAGCAGCACACAAACTCAAAGCCACCATCCTCCTCCTGTTCCAGCATCTAAAGCCACACCACTGCTGTCCTCCTTGCCCCCTCTCAACCATCCGCCCCTCCGTCACTTGCCTTGAGCAGTCACCCCCTTGCCAGGCGTCTGACAGCTGGCTTGACTTAACTCATAGCCCGCCAGCTTTTACCATACAACTGGTGGAGTCTGAGGAGACCCTGTCATGGTTTCCTGAGAGTGCTTTATCATTGTGAATCTGATTTCCTGGTATCCTGATCTTGGCTTTTCCCTAGTTATTCTGAATTCTGGTTTCCCTGACTTGGCTTGTGTAAACGGTATTGTGTATTTTCTGGCTTCCTTGACCTCGGCTTTCCCTTTGGCCATTCTCGTCTCTAGCGTATTAGTCCGGCAATTCTAAGGTCCGGTTTACGCTCTGTCCTTTTATTTTCCTTTTCTTGCCTATGTATATGTTTACATAGTTTCTGCGTGCTGGACCACACTAGTGGTGACATTGGGATTAAACTGATAAGAATAGTACTACATAACACACCACTCCTATCTGGTGGCACATTAGATTGCACGTGCAGTGCCCCAAATTTGAAGAAGGAGGACCGACCAAGCATCTTTTTCCATCTCCCGGTTCCTAAAATCGATGCCATATACACGTCCCCTGATAGGGGACGTAACAGGGATTAAATTGATAGGAATAGTACTACTTAACACACCTTATAATAACGCAGAGAGAGGCAACACAGAGAGAGGAGTCTGAAGAAGAGGAGTCAGAGGGGGAAGGTGGCTTTGAGGAGGTGGAAGACCAAACAGAGCAGGCGTGCCAGGGGGCTTGTTGTCACCTTTTGGGGACCCTTGGTGTTGTACGTGGCTGGGTGGAGGAAGAGACCTTCAATGACATCAGTGAGGAAAACGAACGGGACATGGCTAGCTTGGTATCCAACCTTGTGTAAATGAGGAGTTTGCGGTTGTGCAAATTGATTGTTTGCGGTTGTTTGCAGTGCGTTAAATGGGGAGTTTGGTCTGTCACTGTGAAGCGGGCGTAACCCTTACACTACCTGATCGATACAACATCATACCTGATGTTTTAAAGCACGTTATTCCAAACAATTTAGGAATGTTAGGTGATTTATGCCCTTTATGGATTAAAACCAGACTCTGCATCAACTATGTAATTTTCCATGGGAGTTTTGCCATGTATCCCCCTCCGGCATGCCACAGTCCAGTTGTTAGTCCCCTTGAAGCAACTTTTCCATCACTATTGTGGCCAGAAAGTGTCCCTGTGGGTTTTAAAATTTGCCTGTCTATTGAAGTCTATGGCAGTTCGCCCGGTTCGCGAACATTTGCGGAAGTTTGTGTTCGACGTTCGCGAACCGAAAATTTTATGTTTGCGACATCACTAGTGTCAAATACTGCTGTCACATTGCAGTTTTAAAACTTAACATTTTTTGGGTGCTAAAAAGTACATTAGTGGGTGCACTAGTGGGGAAGCGTCAAATACTGTGGTTGCAGCGCAGTTGTAAAAATTCTAATGGTTTTGGTGCTAAACTGCTAAATAGTAAATTTGGGGCATGCTCTTCATATCTGAGAGTCGAATAGAAGCGTCAATTAGTGTGGTTACAGCGCAATTGTAAACATTCTTATTTTCTGGGTGCTAATCTGCTAAATAGTAAATTTGGGCCCTGCATTTCATATCTGAGAGTCAAATAGAAGCGTCAAATAGTGCAGTTACAGCGTAATTGTAAACATTCTTATTTTCTGGGTGCTAATCTGCTAAATAGTAAATTTGGGCCCTTCACTTCATATCTGAGAGTCAAATAGAAGCGTCAAATACTGCGGCTACAGCGCAGTTGTAAAAATTATAATTGTTTTGGTGCTAATCTGTTAAATAGTAAATTTGGGCCCTGCACTTCATATCTCAGAGTCAAATAGAACCGTCAAATAGTGCTGTGACATAGCAGTTTTAAACATTCACATTTTTTCGCTGCTAAATAGTATATTTGCAGTCTGCGGTGCACTTCATATCTGAGAGTCAAATAGAACTGTCAAATATTGTGCTTACATTGCAGTTGTAAAAATTCTAATTCTTTAGGTGCTAAAAAGTCAATTTGGTGCCTGCACTTCATATCTGAGAGTCAAATAAAACCGTCAAATTATGCTGTGACATAGCAATTTTAAACATTCAAATTTTTGGGCTGCTAAATAGTACATTTGCGTCCTGCGGTGCACTTCATATCTGAGAGTCAAATAAAACTGTCAAATACTGTGCTTTCAGCACCCTTTGAAAAAATTCTAATTGTTTTGGGTGATAAAAAGTAAATTTGGGGTGTGCACTTCATATCTGACAGTCAAACAGAACCGTCAAATACTGTGGTTACAGCGCAGTTTGACCAATTCAAATTTTTGGGGTTGTTAAATAGTACATTTGCAACCTGCACTTCATATCTGACAGTCAAATAGAACCATCAAATACCAATATAACAATATTGTAATTCGGGGGCAATACCCTCACAAGTCAAACTGAGAGGTCAGTTTATAGGGAAAACTGTTGCCTGGATACAATTCTAAAACAATTCTCATATGTCCTTTGCAGAGTTTACATGCTGGAAAAACACAGGTGCCAACTGCTGTGGCTTTCTGCAGTGTGCAGAACGGCAAGGAGGGAAGGGTTGAGGAGTGGGTGGAAGATGATGTGTAGGATGATGAGGTCCTAGACCCCACATGGAATCAAGGTCATGCGAGTGATTTGTGCAGTTTGGAGGAAGAGGCGCTGGTCGCACAGGGGCACCAGCACAGCATAAGAGGGAGCAGGGTGCAAAAGCGGAGTGGCCGTCACCTAGCGCTCGTCGGCATGTATTATCTTTAGAATTCCCACAGTTATCCAAGTAACAGATGGAGCGATAAAAGGAACCATAACAGATTTAACGAGCCATTCGCAGTCTGGTGACCATGACCCAGACACTGTCCGGGCGGCGGGCAGATGACCGGGACCCAGTATGCCTTATGTTGAAGTTAGGAGTCACAGTGTGGAATGGATTAGCATTGTCTGGTGCAGGGTAACTGCATGCCCCCTGGTGTTGAGCACCAGCATTTGTGCGGCCACATACCAGGACCCTGATGAAGCTTCAGTAAAAAGAGTACTGGATACCAGAAGCCATCACCAGACTGATCCGCAACTTGGAACAGGATGTGACATTCACTGTAGTGGCTGTGCGCGCTTTTGGCGTTCTCACCCTGCTGCTGCTCGCCTGTCTGCGCTGCAGCATAACTTTGGCCTTCTGTCACGGCCCCCGGCTCGCCGCCATATGCATCCATGCCTGACCGGCACGACCGCACCAACTCACTGAGCTTACCTGTCAGCGGCGAGCCGGGAACCATTCCTCCATGTCGCCCAGTACCTTGCCCTGTCGTGGTTTCCTGTTCCTGGTTCCCTAGAGTGCGTTTATCTTTGTGAATATTACTTCCTGGTATCCTGATCTTGGCTTTTCCCTGGTTATTCCGAATTCTGGTTCCCCTGACTTGGCTTGTTTAAATGGTATCTGAGTATTTCTGGCTTCCTTGACCTCGGCTTTCCCTTTGACCATTCTCTATCTCTAGCGTATTAGTCCGGCCATTCTAAGGTCCGGTTTACGCTCTGTCCTTTTATTTCCTCTCCTTTTGTATGTATATGTTTACATTGTTTCTGCGTGTTGGACCACACTAGCAGCCGTGACACCTTCCCACTCACCGCCTCATATGCGACGTGCCTACAAGGTGGAACTTCACCTTGCACATGCTGTAGAGACTATGCGTGCAGCAGCAGGTGATAGTGGAGTTTCAGCTGCAGCACGCATGGGTCAGTCGCTCTGCACCAGACTTGCCCTCCAATTGATCATAGTTAAAGGATTTCAAGTGGACTCATTACAATTACGGGGCCTGTAAAGAGTCCTGTATTGTTATTTGTCGTCACTACCTCCCCGCGTTGGGAGTAGTTAACTTGCGTGCCTGCTGCCTTCCTTGGATGTGGAAGCCGTTTCTCAGACTCCCTCTCCGGTATCGAAACCTGATTCCCCATTACCCCTGGTCACCATGTGTAACGGATCACCTGGCACCCCGACTGGATACCTCCGTTAAAGGATGCTCCTAGCGCTTCCTGAGGACTCCAAGCACTGCAGCAGACACCACAACCACCGAACCGGAGAAGCATATGAATCCTCTCAAGCATATGAATGCTGTAGACAGTTGAATAGGAACCATACGAATAGGTTTACTCTCCTAGCAGTCAAACTGGAACAGCATACAATAAATCCTTCCCCCAATAATGAGACGACACTTCACTTTGAGGGTTAAAACAGGAACTCCCTGTACTGTCACATACAGTCTCTTTTATTCCCAATCCACAAACATAGTACAGCCCACAGGGCGTTACAAAACAACCAATCAATCCATACAATACACCCAGACACTCCCACACAAAATCCTCCCCTCTGCAGGTGATATGATTACTGAACACAATGGGTAATCTCATTATCACCGGCAGAGGAATACAGTTTTTACACAATATTTCTAACTTCTAAAATATACATGTCACAAACATAAAACATACATTTTCATAATCAATCCATTCAGGGGAACAACATATTAAAAAATGGCACGAATCAGACCAGGGGTTCAAAAGTTAAGGGAAAGTCCTTTGTGACTAAATGAAGCATGGCTTTCTGGCCCAAACCAGTTTCAGAGTCTTCTATCCTGGAGAGTAATTCAATTATCTCCCAGGATAGACACAAGACTCCATTAAGCACATGGTTGCAAAAAGACACAAAACACTTTAAAATACATAAAGTCACATTTACACATAACACACAGACATTTCACATATCCCCAGATAGCTGGGATCTGAGTGCACATTATTAGATGAATGGCACTCAGATCACACAAATAAGCCTTTCTGCAGGGGAAATAAACGGTTTAACCTGCAGGGCCATAGTCCAAAGGGAGCAGGCGAGCAACCAGGCTTCTCCAGTTCACAGTGGCGAGGTTGGTTTCGCCACACCATGGTAGGCACAGAAAGTGGCATCGAAAGCGAAACATCCTAAGCGAAGTCGCCGTCATGGGGACGTGCGATTGGCCCGAGATTCTCTAGAGTGACCAAAGTGCCTGCGCAACTATAATGTCAACAACTACTCTGCCGATCGGATCTTCACTAATAGGTAGGGGATGGAGGGTGGACCTGTGCCAGTCCCTTCTCTTCCCCACTCTCTGGCAGACATCTGGCAGTACTGACTCAGATCCTGAGAGATGCCTGGCCAGAAGAAGCTGTGAGTGAGCCGAGACGCTGTCTGGCTCCTGGCCAAATGCACTGCCAAGGGAATATTGTGAGCTAGCTTCAGCAGCTCTTACCAATACTTCTTGGGTCTGGGGCTGGCGGTTTCTCACAAGCCGTGTCGTTGGGGAGCCCATTGAAAAAGTGCTCTAACATGACGAGCTGGGTGATCTCCTCTGGGAACCTGGCTTAATGGGAGTTGAGCCAGTTCTGGGTGGCCCTTGTGATGCGGCATGCCCACTAAGCATGGGAGTCCTTCTCCCCTTTCCGGGTCTCCCTAAACTTTTGGCGGTATTGCTCGGGTTTGACCGCATACCGGGCCAGGAGGATTTGTGTAATAAAGGAATAGTCTCTGATCTGCTCTGATATGCGACATGTCCACAATGTGGAACTCCACCTTGCACATGCTGGAGAGACTGTGCGAGCAGCAGCAGGCGATAGTGGAGTTTCAGCTCCAGCACGCACGGGTCAGTCGCTCTGAGGAACAGCACCACTTCACCACCAATGAGTGGGCCTCCATGCGAGACCTGTGTGCCATTTTGCACTGTTTCGAGTACTCCACCAACATGGCCAGTGCCGATGACGCCTTTCTCAGCCTTACTATCCCGCTTCTATGTCTTTGGGCGATGATGGAAGAGGATGTGGCACAGGAGGAAGAGCAGGAGGAAGAGGGGTAATTTCCATGGTTATCAGGCCAGTCATTCACAAGTGGCTCGGAGGGTGGGTTCCTGCACCAGCATAGGCCAGGTACACAATTGTCCATCATCTCCACACTGTCCCATGGAAGCGTTCAGCTGTCCATCTCCCAAACACTGGAGAGAAAGAGGAAGTACCCCCCAGCCACCTGCGATCCCTGGCCCTGAATGCCAGCATTTCAAAATTTGTGGCCTTTGAAATGCTGTCATTCCATCTGGTGGAGACCGACGGTTTTAAAAACCTGATGGCGTTATTGGACTGCACGAAATGCACCGCAGTCCGCAAATGTTTCTTTTTTTATATGTCCCAATATTTTGGGGGCTACCCCAATTAAAAAAAACAAAACAAATAAAAACCAGTGTTGGCTACTTCCTCCTCCACCGCTGCTTCCACCTACACCGCCACGATCACCGCCTCCTACAGTTTGCATCTTGAAATACCTTTTTTATTGGACTAACAGAAATTTTTAATGACAAGCTTTCGGGAGAACCTCCAGTCTGAAGCATTTCTGAGCAAGACGACATGTGGAATTTAAAGCTGAGTTGTGATACAGGGGTTAAAGCGACATGAGTGCAGATAAGACACAGGTTTGATAGAAAATAGACAACATTCTTGCAGAGGGCCATAGATATCTTTCTGAAGATCAGAGTGAGGGGGGAGAGGGAGAAACCCCCCACCAAAAAAAAAAAACAAGCAGAGGAATGCAGAAGATGGTACACTTTATACATACACACACACACATAAATGTATATGTATATGCAACACATGAACTCATATACAGAAATATAAATGTACAGTCACATATATAAGCATACATGCATAAGAGTATGGGAAAGCATAGGTCTACACATAGTACTTATATATTGATAGAATAAACATATTGGAATGCGTTTTGAAGTGTTGATACATATGACAGAAAAGTAAGATAATGGGGGAGTATTCATGTAAAGTATTGGTAGTGGGACAAAAAACCCAAATCAATATTTTGTCCTTTATTCTTGCTGTTAAACAATTTGATCATTCTGGCTTCAAAGGCTTTTCTTTCTTGTGTATTTTTACACAAAGTACTTTGATTTTTAGGTACTTCATTGAGTGGCAAGGCTAGGTAAAGTGGTGTCCTACAGGAGTGCAGTACAATTCTTCTTTGTGGTGTTTAATGGAGTGTCTGTGCATATTCATTCTGCCATTTAATTGCTGGGTGGTTTCTCCAAGTAGCATCCTAGGTGGAATTTGGTGCATTGAATCATATACCACATTGCTGGATGTGCAGGAGTATGATCCTTTAATGCTGTAGGTTTTATTGTTGTGTGTGTGTCACGGTTCTCACCACAACATCCAGACGGCCAGACGAGGTTGCCCCAATGGTGCCTGATGAGGCACTTGAACCTGGGTACTTTGCAATCCTGGATCTGCTTTTTTGCCTCTCAGCCACTATACAGCTCTAGTATTGCCTGAAGTATAATCTTGCCTTGTATCCAGCACTGGGGGCTGGACGTTATTCTGTGGCTGCTCCAACATTCTCAGCACACCTGTGGCTGATCACCAATTAGCCAGGTATAAGACACTGCCTCTCCCTGAGGGCAGTGTCAGTTCATTGACTCTGGTTCAAGTATTGCTGTTTCATGTTCCAGTGTTCTCCTGTTGATTCCTGACCTTGGATTGTTATTTCGTGTATCCTGACTTCTGGCATCCTCTGACCTCGGCTCTCTACTTGTCTATCCTGATTTCTGGCACCCACTGACCTCTGGCTTACCCACGACTATTCTCTTGTTTATGTCCTTTCTGTACTGCAACTTGGAGCATTAAACTGCACAGCCCCCGTGCACAGACTCACAGGCCAGGTGAGTTCTTACCTGACCACCTTGGCCAGTGTTTAATTGCAAGGGTGAGCATATATCTGTGCTACAGACTCCCAACCAAGGTAAGCCGTTACAGTGTGGCTGCATAGTCTGTGCATATGTGCTGACACAGTTTGCAGTGAGGTTTTTTGCATTGACTGGTCCTGTTTTCTTTATTTTTCCCATCAGTGGGCAGCTTCCTGTTGATTCACTTTTATTTTGAGGTTTGGTGGTTGTCTGAAGGACAAAATGGGTGTTTCAGAGAAAAACTATTTCAAAGTCTCATCTTCTGTTAACATTGGTTAACATTTTCCGTATTTCCTCAAGAGCTGGGTTGTAGGTGACCACAAGTGGCACTCGTGGAGATATTTTTTTTTCTCTGTACTGTAGCAGGCACGTGCGTGGCTGTTTACAGCAGAGTTGATTTATTTGGTAATAGTTTTTGGTTTGTAGCCTTTCTGTCTCATAGATTGGGAGAGTACATTTAGATGGGAATTTCAGTCATTGGGATCAGAGCATATGTGATGGTACCTAGTGGCATGGCTGTAGATGATGGCATGTTTAGTATGGGAAGGGTGGAAGCTGGAGCTGTGAAGGTAACTGCACCTGTCTGTTGGTTTTCTGTAAACCAAGTTGTGGATTGTGCCATTGTTACATGTTTAGAAAATTCACAGATTTAGTGGAATATTTCATTTTTAGCTTGATTGATGGATGGAATGTGTTAAAATTGTGGATGAATAGTGCCAGTTCTGTGATAATTCAAGGGCTGTATTTTTGGTTGTCGGCATAAGAGAGGAAATGGAAGCAAGCATTGGTGCCATCTGTATGTGGAATGTTGATGAAAAGAGATTCAACATCCATGGAGTGAGATTGGTGATTTGGCCAAATTTGTGGAGGAAGGCTGTATTGTCTTTTATGAAGCTGTTGGTGACTAGAGGTTTTAGGGTATTTTCCACCCTAAAATGTGACTGTGCATTTATATTTCTGTATATGAGTTCATGTGCATGTATGTATATGTGTTTATGTATATGTATTACAGTTTTCATGTGTTTGTGTGTGTGTGTGTGTGTGTGTGTGTGTATGTGTATATATATATATATGTTTTTTTTTTTTTTTTTCTCCCTCACTCGGATCTTGAGAAAGATATTATGGCACTCTGCAAGAATATTGTCTATTTTCTATCAAACCCATGTCTTATCTGCACTCATGTCGCTTTAACCCCTGTATCAAAACTCAACTTTAAATTCCATGTGTCGTCTTGCTCAGAAATGCTTCAGACTTAAGAAAGGTAAGTTCTCCCGAAAGGTTGTCATTAAAAATTCTGTTAGTCCAATAAAAAAGGTATTACAAGATACAAATTGTATCTGTTTTTATATATATATTAACCTGCACAGCCCCCGTGCACAGACTCACAGGCCAGGTGAGTTCTTACCTGACCACCTTGGCCTGTGTTTAATTGCAAGGGTGAGCATATATCTGTGCTACAGACTCCCAACCAAGGTATATATGAGAGAGAGAGA